ATATATATACACACATATATATATATATATATATATATATATATATATATATATATATGTATGTATGTATGCATATATATATGTATGTATGTATGTATTCATCCCGAATCAATTTTTATCTCACTTAAATCCAAGATGCTGTCATCACTATCAATTTCCACGTGTGGATGACTAATGAATTCATGAATCTACTTCTAATAATTATGTCAGTACAAAATTAATCTTTCTTCCATACACTTGTTTGTATATGGCAATGGTCACATCCTCTTATGTAACCTTTAGAGTAGTCGAGAAGGCAATCAGGCCGAAGACATTGACATCAATGGATGTGAAGAAGCACTAGCTAATGTACATTCGTAACAATGTATGTTGTCAAGTGCATGGATCATCAAGGTAGCAATCATGAGCATCACATCAACCATTTGGCATGCCCACAAAAGCCCGGACATTAAATCCCTTTTATCATCATCCCTTTCAATTGAGCTTTATATATGCCTGATTGGTATAATTTTTATGTTGTATATATAGCACTCATATATCTATCTTTTTATGTGATGATAGGAGGTGGAACCAATATCTCACAACTTCGTCTTATTGTCAACCCCCTCAATCATTCAAAGCATTATTAGTCTTCGATGCAAATGACATGTCCATTTTGCAGAGGCACGAGAACAACACATCAACAAAGCTTCGCTAAGGTCAAACTCTCACCCACAAATTATGGCACCATAGAGGGGACACGTCAAGGGGTTGGATATGACAGAAACCCAACCCAATTTGGTTGGATTAAATGCATATTTTTATCTAATTATTTGATCAATTATATTATAAACAATTAAGTTAAACGATTATCTTTCATTCTCTCTGTTGAGATATTCGAATCGATTAATGTATTATTATATGATTAATATGTCTCATATTCAAATGTAAACATCATATACGTTTATAATATTTTAATATAATTGGATCGAGTAGATTTTTATAATTTAATTATTCTTAATGTGATTGGGTGTAAAATTAGTCGATAATTCATCGAAAATAATTGATAATTTGTTAGATCTCATATTGTACAAATTAATATTAAAAATAGTATCATACACACATGACATTGTCATTACACTATGATTAGTAATCAATTTTGATCCAACTTTGAAAAGAAAAAGAAATGATTATGGTCATGAGAATTAGCTGAACTGGTTAATCATTTATTTATGGATTGGCATCAACTTCTTTCTGCATACCTTAAATCTCGAGCTGAATCAGCTTTGTAGGTTCCTACTTTGAGTTCTTAAACTGAAAGATTAGGAAAAGATCTCAAGCTTAATGGTGGATGTCGCTGGTCACATACAGCAACACCAACTTACCATCAAACCTTTTGATCCATGCTTGGTCTTCTTTGCAATGAGGAGACAGTTCTTGGGGATTTGATGGCATGAAGGTGAGGAAACCATGAACCAAACAAAAGGAAGAGGAAGTAGATAGTGGTAGAAGTCACCATGTTGAATGGGTGAGTATTTTTAAGAGTCATAATCATATTCAAATTAGTTGATGAAATCTTAATTAGATTAAAATTTATTAGTGAATTAAGAGTTATTCTTATAAATATACATTGATTTTAGTAAGAGGAAGAGCTAAGGCACTTTGAGTGTTGTGATTTATCAGATTTTTAGAAAGGTTAGAGAGAAGTTTTTAATTCCTAACATGATATTTTTGCCTATTAAATTACTTTGAAACTATGTTCCTGAACACAGATATCACCCCTCCCATTAGTGCATTGAGCAATGGAGGAGGATGATTCAGAGAATGGATGGGAATGGTGATGTGCTCACTCGCCAAGGTGGAGGCTTGTGTTGAGTTGAGCATCGCTGCAAAACCAGAGAAGCCATGCCTGTAGCTGTACACCATGGCTTCCTCTGCTTCTTCTTGCCTGAGATCAAATTGCCAGAAGAACAAAGACAGCAGCTGTAATTATGTTGAACGCTCAGTGGAGGCAAGAAAAGGTAAGATAGAAGAGGTGGGACTTGATTGACTACCTGGAGAAGACACTTGACATGGACCTTGGTGGTGAGGCGACGATCTTGGCCATGGCTGTGGCCCAGGTAGACTATGTGCACCTGCAACACAGGAACAAAAAGACCACATTATATGTTGGCATTATTTGGTGGGGAACAGAGAAGACTGGGGCTCGATTGGGAGATAAGGTTGCATGGCCTGTGGGCAAGCAGTGACTGCAATAAAGCCGATGACAGAGGAAGAGGCCCCAGAGGAGGTGAAAAGAAGTAGCCATTGCCTCTCACAGATCTGCCAGTTGCAAGTCTGTGCATTATATAGTAGGGAAAGTCCATAATTTATCATTCCATGGAGTTCAGCATGGTGTAGACTGCTTCAACTGCAAGCCTTGTAAAGCTACAATGTCCTCTGACATGCACCATGTCTGCATCATGATTTCCTTCCTTCCCTTTCCGAGTTGCACTGACCTAGTTCTTTCTCTCAAGATCATTGAGCTCCACAACTACAACTCAGAGTAATCTATCTACCCCCTCTTGGATTCAGCATGAAGTCCATACCAATATACCAGGCAAGGTTGATTACAAGGGAAAGAGGCCTACTTCCCCTCTCTTTTTGTCTAATCATCTGCTCTAATTATCTGATACATAATAATTGTGAACTCGTGTGCAGTCCATCATCATATCTAAAAATCCTGCTTATGATCTCCCATGACTGCCATTGCCACAATAGAGCAATCGAGCAGTGCTTATGATGAGAAATTTTCGGTTATCCAAGATAACATCTTAGATAACTTGCAGCTTGTGTGTCATATATCACATTATTATATAGCAGAAGGAATCCAAGCACTGAAGACTACATTATCCATGCAGATATACTATAAGCAGGACTCAAGCAAAACTTCAAGGTCTGTCTGTATATTAGGCTTGGAAAGATTTGAAGCTCTTCACTTTTAATTCCGTTTGTT